GGGTAGGTGCAGACATTGAAAATAAAAATAACAATACACATGATATCCTTCCCTATCATTTATCTTGATGATTTTTTGAAGCATAGAATACTTTTTAAAAGCCTTCATCATATGCACCTCAACAGCAGAAAGAGAGCATGCATTTGAAAGCAGCCACTGTCTGGGGACCTAGTRACAAGGTCTCCTCTGGGTGTCTGTGTCCAGTCATTAGATTAAGGCCCACCCTTGATTACATCTGCAAAGACCTTATTTCCAAATCAGGTCACATTCTCAGGTGCTACAGGTTGGCTTCAACATATCTCTGGGCAACACAATGCAATTCGCAGCAGTCCTTTAAGAATGAGCATCCTTGGTCGGGCCCAGTGACACACGACTGTAATCCCAGCAGCTTGAGAGTCTGAGGCAGGAGGATCACTAGTTCAAAGCCAGCCTCAGCAAAAGCAAGTCGCTAAACAACTCAGTGAGACCCTGTCTCTAAATAAAATACAAAGCAGCGCTGGGGGTGTGGCTCAGTGGTTGAGTGCCCCTGAGTTCAATCTCCCCCTGCCAAAAAAAAAAAAAACATAAGAATGAGCATCCAGATCTCTGCCCTGTCCCTGACTTCCTTTACCTTCTGTGTGCCTGTTCTTTTTCTGATCCTAATGGTTCTTCAACAGATGTCTGAGCCTGATGAGTGTCTTGAAGGCCTGTGGGGCTTCTTCCAGCAGGTGGTAGCTCCTGGATGTGGTTTTTACATAAGTCCATTTGTGTTGACAGAGATTTTCCTTAGTTGGTTTCTCTTATATATTAAAGGAAGAGGCTTGCATGCTTTTAAAAAACAAAACTTCAAGACACAAATGGGAAATCTGGGAAGGTTTGATTTGTGAGCAAATGTCCTCTATCCTGGGTGCTGCAGGGGGGTCAAGCTGGCTGTCCCAGAAGCTGGTGGGAGCACATGAGTCCTGGGGACAGGAGAGGAACTGATGAGGCTAAGAGATGCTCAGGTCTGGGGGAATTCTCAGTGCAGATGAAGGGAAGAGACATGAGCAGTGAACCTCCCTGCACTCCAGCCCATTGGTGTCTACTGTGGCCTACCCTATGGGAGTCAAAGAAAGGAAAAGTCTAGAAGTTGTTTCACTGACTGTTCAATGATCATATGCCTTATGGCCATGGTGGTCAAATCATTTATCATCCCAATAATGAAAAGAGTACAGTTAGAAATGACACCCAGACAATAGGCATAAACTCTACCTATGCCAGGGAAATTGAGGTTCATCATTATTCCTAATCAGGGGAAGAAACACTCCTATTAGGAGGTCTGGGGATTCTCAGACCTCATCACTATTAAAACAGCTGGCTTACTTGCATTTTATGGGTGTGGTTATAGACTGTGTTTCTTTCTTTGCTTTGGCTCAGCCATATTGGTAGGTTGCCTTTTGTAATTGTGCTGGAATTACCAGACATATTCTCCACAGTATTACCAGCTTATCTTACTCATCAACTGTCATTTGTTTTTCTTTGTCCTAACATCTTATTGGTTTTGAAGATCATATTGCATGTATATCTTAAGCTTTTTGGATTGTTGATGTCTGAAAGAGTGGGTGGGTGAGGAGCGAATAGAAATTTGGGTAGATTGAAGGGTGAAAGTTGGAATATTAGGTATATGGATGAGTGGGTAGGTGTTAGGATGTGTGTGTGTGGAATGTTTGATAGAAGAGTGGGTGTTTGGATCAATGAGTGGGTGGTTAGGCATTTGGATGGATTATTGGATGTGGGGGTGGGTGGATTTTTAGATTTAATAGGATGGGCATCTGGCTGAATATTGGATGGATGCGTGTATGACTGAATGTTTGGATATATGAGCAGATGTGTGCCTGGATAAATGTATGGGTGCATAGATAACTGGATGAATGGAGAGGTGGTGAAATYTAGATGATATATTTTAGCATAAATAGATAAGTGGAAGAATGGTTGGATGAGTATTTGTATGGATAGRTTATGGGGTAAGTGGATGGATAGTGGGTGGGTGGGTGGCTATATTGCTGACTGTTTGTTTGAGTAGATGTATATGCAACAGGCAGGTATATGTGTATGGGTGGATGGACAGATTGACGGAAGGACGAGGAACAAGAGGAAGTATAGATGAGTACATAGGTGTTTGGATGACTGGATAATATTTTCTCAGTATATGGCATAAATATGTGAAGGGTGAAATAAAATGTATAAAGCATTTTGCCAATGACTGGTATGTGATGGACATTCTAACTTATGAGAAAGTAYGTAGGCTTTGTAGAATGAAAGGCCTTTGTTCCAATCCTTACCCCACCACTTACTATGTGACCTTTGCAACTGCCTGACCTCTCTGTACTTTAGTTTGCATAACCATAATGTACAGTTAAAATACCTATTCCAGAGRGTTGCTGTGAGAATTAGAAAGCCTGGTGGATATTTCCAGAATAGGCCCTGGCTTTCTTCCTTCTGAGGTACAGAGAGAGTGAGAGCTAGAGAGAAAGACAGGGAGTGGACAGGGAGAATTCTTTTACCTAAGTATGAAATAAAAGTCCTTTCCCTTAGTCTGTTTGATCCAACCCATGTCACATATATTCCATGGGACCAACAGCAATTGCTAGTGGCACTTTCTGTTTGGATTAGATTGATCAGACTTGGAGGCTGTGGGCTCTACCCTGCATGGAGCCAGTCTGCAGAGGATGGGAGGGGCGTGAAGGCCAGCCTCTAGAGCTGGACCTGGCCACCTTCCCCTGAGTCACCTGATTGAGAGAGGGAACAGTTCTGGAGCTACTCAGTCTTGAGCAATGAGAGATGATACTCATGGTGGCAGGTAACGGAAAGAAGTGACCACTGGGCAACCTGTCACCATGTTAAGGGTATGGAAAAATCACATCTGGTAGCTGATATGAAGATAATGTGGAAGGAAAACAAAATTCACTGTGATGGGGACCCCTGGGGCATGTGCTCGTTGCATTAAGTTGGGCTGTAATGCCTTTAGAGTGTATGCAGATCTAGCGAGGGTGGTGCTTAGATTGGTGTGTCTGGGTCTCTGGAGACAGGCTGGGGCTTGGAGACTGGGAAGCAATCAGTATCCCTCTATTTTACGAACTTACGCACCCTTTCAACAAACCTAAAATCTCACATCCTCCTTTAGTGTCACTAAGCCTGTTACACATAGAGATTAAAATCAGTTCAAATGAGTTCCGAATCGAGTCTGCTTCCTAGGCTGATTTGATGGCCCCTGCGGGCAGGGAGGTGAAGCCTCCTATCTCGGGGACCTTTGGAGACCTTCTCCGCTTGGTGGGCTGGCTGAGTGGACACCAGGGTGAGTGACCTTGAGCCAAGTCTCGCCTCGGCTCTACAGTCGCTTGCAGAGCTCCTGAGGCTGCCTCTACTTTGCAGACTGCGCTCCTACTGGGAACTGGTCAGCTGGCCTGGTGGGTCCCCCGCGGGTGCTGTCCTCTGCACCAGCCGGCSGCATGGTGGCCGGGGCCTCTGGGCAGCTCCCCAGGCGGTGGAGGAAGCATCCAGGTTGGCCTTCGGGCCCCTCTCGTCCCTGCAGGCTGGCCCCACGCCGGGCCGAACCCACGCCCTCGAAAACCCCGGCCCTGTGGACTGCGGCCTTCTGCTCAGCGGCCTCTGAGAGGCACTTCCGGTCCTACTGGGTGCCGGCACTTCCGGTCCTACTGGGTGCCGGCGCTTCCGGTTCCGGCTGGCTGCGGCACTTCCGCCCCCAGCCGCCCAGGCTCCAGAGCAGGGCCGCGTGGTTGGAACCCGCTGCACACTATCGGCCCCCCCGTAGCGTGGTGTGCCCTGGTGGAGTTGGACCAGGGACGGTGGCACCCACGTCGCTGGGAGAACGTCGTGGGGTTTGGCGGCGGGACTTGGGTGTGGAAGCGGCTGTGGAAGGTCAACCAGGCGCCCCTGAGGTGTCCTGGCCTTCTCTCTGGCTCTCAGGGCTGATGGCCTTGGGCCCCTGAGGGGAAACGTTGAAAAAGACTTATGACAGCAAAAAGGGTGACCTTTACAAAGGCCATTGACCATTGTTTGGGAGACAGAAGCCTTTGTTACAACAAGGAAGCCAGACGTGGAAATGCAGGCACCGAGGCTGAGATGGAAGGAAACCCTGGTGGAGTGTTTTAGTCAGCATTTTCACCACTATGACCACAGACCCAACCAGCACAATCATAGAGAAAGGACAGATTGTTGGGGGGCTCCCACGGTTTCAGAGGTCTCAGCCTCTAGATGGCTGGACTCCCTGGGGCTACAGGTGACATAGAGCATCCAGTCAGAAGAGTGTGGCAGAGGGAAGCATCTCATGGTGACCAGAAAAAGAGCAAGCTGGAGCTCTGCATGCCAAATGTAAATCCATACCCCACGGCCAGGCCAGAAAAAGAGCAAGCTGGAGCTCTGCATGCCAAATGTAAATCCATACCCCACGGCCAGGGCCCCACCCATGCCCGCCTTCAGTTTACCCCAATAGGTGACTAGCTCACTGATTGGATCAAGGCTCTCTGTAACTTAAGTCATTTCTCGCTGAACCTTCTTACATTGTCTCACCATTACAGGGAGTTAGTGGATTTTTGTTTCAATCCACAGATTGCACTTTTGGGTGGTGGGCAAAGCTGATTTTACTGTGGTCTCCCCTGTCTCAAGAGAGCCAGTTTCAGAGATTGTAAACACAATCCCCATGCATTCAGCCTCCTATTCATTGAGAGCCTTTCAAGGGAGTCAGAACCAGGTGCAAATCTTGCGTGCTTCACTGTGCTAGAAATCGGAAGGCACCGCACACGTGCCTGGTGCATGGCCCTGCTCTGAAGACTCGTGGCCAGCCTTGTTGCAGAGCCAGGATCATCATTTGTATAGCCCTTATGTTTCCCATTCCCCAGGAAGTCCTTCAGTGAATACCTGTTGAGTCCTTGCCTAATCACTCAGATCCAGTGGCTTCAGCAGTGGGGGTGAGGGAACCCCCAGCTCTTCCTCTGACACCTCTTACATCCTTCATTTTACAGACATTGACGAGTGTGAGAATGACTACTACAATGGGGGCTGTGTCCACGAATGCATCAACATTCCAGGAAACTACAGGTGTACCTGCTTTGATGGCTTCATGCTGGCACATGATGGACATAACTGCCTAGGTGAGTAATGCAGCCATGCCATGCTCTCTGGGCATGTCCTGCCTACTTGTTRGCTCCAGCTTATAGAGCTGGAGGCTGTGAGAAAGCTTGCCCTCCTTTGGTTCTTGTGTTCGTTTGCTCAGGCTGCCATGAAATACTGCAGACTGAATGGCTTAAAAAAATAGAAATTTATTTTCCTCACACTTCGGGGGGCTGGAAGTTCAAGGTCAAGGAATTAGCAGATTTGGTTTCTTGGAAGGGCTCCTCTCCTGGACTTGCAGATGGCCATCTTCTTGCTGTGTCTTCACATGGTCTTCCCCTTGAATATGCATGTATTGGGTGTTTCTCTTTGTCCTGATCTTTTCTTATGAGGACACTACATCATATTGGAGTAGGACCCTCACTAACAATTCTATTTTTTAAAAATATTATTTGTTTATTTATTTATTTTAGGTRTAGATGGACACAACACAATGCCTTTATTTTTTTTTTATGTGGTGCTGAGGATCGAACCCGGGTCCCGCCTGTGTTAGGTGAGCGCTCTAGCACTGAGCCACAATCCCACCCCAACAATTCTAGTTTTAATTTACTTACCTCTTTAAAGATCCTGTCACCAAAGATAGTCACATTTGGAGGTATTAGAGGTTGAATTCCTTCAACATAAGAATTTCAAAGGGACACAGTTCAGTCCACAATATTGTATATTCCTATGGCTCAAATATATTTTCAAGCTAGTTATATAAAATGTATAAGTATAGTCTACTTTTGCTGAATAAAATTGGCAAAATATAGAAGATTAGGGAAAGAACTTGGAAAGCATCTTATCTTCACATGGTCTTCCCCTTGTATATGAATGTGTAGGGTATTCCATCCATCTTCTCTTGTGTCCAGGTATGCACTACCCACTGTGATGGTTGGATGATCCTCATGTTTTTGTCACTTCCTTCTCCTTCTAACGTCATATGCACCTCGGGTATTTTCCTGTGGCCCCTGTTGCCACCATCTCCTAGTTGCTCCATGGACTAAGTTGCCAACAACCTAGCTGAGTTTTGTGGGGCCACCGTAACAAAACTGGGTGCCTTAAACAAGAGAGACTTATTATTTTACACTTTGGAAGTTAGGAGTCTACAAACAATTGGCAGGGTTGGTTCTGTCTGAGGACTGCAAGTRAGGATCTATTCTAGGCCTTTCTCCTAGCTTGAGGTATTTGTTGGCTTCTCCCTGTGTCYTCACATGTCTTAGCTCTATGTCCAAATTTCTCATGTTTCTAAGGAAACCAGTGGTGTTGGATTAGGGCCCACTATAACTATATCATGTTAACCTGATCATCTGCAAGACTGCATTTCAGAAAAGGTTACATTCACAATACTGGGGTTTAGGACTTCATCGTGTTTTGAGGGGACAGCATYCAACCCATAATAGGTGTTCGCCATCTGTAACAAGAGAAACAGCCTCTCATGGTAGAACATGCATGGCTGTGGGAGCATGCTTGCCTGTCCCCAAGCCTGCTCCTGCCATGGCTGCTGAGTGACTAGAAGCACAGCAGCTAGAGACCAGATTAACAGTCTGGATTTGGCAGGAGCATGACCAGGGATGAGTTATTTACTTGTTGGAGGTCTTGGTTACTGTTCACAGCAGTAATGTCAAGACATCTCAGCAGCAGACTGGCCCAAGTGCACTCGAGCTTGTGGCTGGTACTGTCGYCATGGTCTCTGAGCCTCATCTTCCCATTCTAAAGTAGGATCTCTGTGCCACCCACACCATTAGGCTGTGTGCAAGGATGGAATGACAGTGTGAATGAAGTGACTAGCACTTACTAGGTGCTGTTTTGATAGGCATTATTGTTACTCTGGAGAACTTGGCTACCTTTCTGTTTGCTTCTTTTTTTAGTTCTCACCATCAGAATCCAAAGGTGATTCTCTTTCCTATCTTCCCATGTGTAGAATCCTTYGCATGAATGGAACTAAGGAACCAAAAAGTCACTTGGATTTTTGATGGACTTTGGTGCAGCACTTTCTAAAAACTCTGAGCAAACCTTCCATTCTGCCACCTAGTTTTTGGGCACATAGTATGGACAGTGTGACACCCTGAGCACTTGGGGACTCTGCCTCTTAGTGGCAAGTTAGCCTGTTTTTGTTTAATTCATGTTGGGTCTCAGATGATGTTATGGGAAACAGATCTGTGAACATGTAATTATACCCAAATCAGTGCCAAAACAGAGGCCTGAACAGCAAGTTCCTGTGAAAAGTTTCTCCTGAATGAAGTGGGAGTGGGGAAGGGAGCAGGGTTAAGGGGTGGGGGGCTTCAAAGAGGAGCTAGTTCAAAGTGGGATCTCCTGAGACTGAGGAGAAGTTGGCTAGGTGGAGGGCCTAGCCTGCATTGAGGGCTGCAGGCAGTTCATCGAGGCTGGGCTCAGAGTATATGGGAGGAGTGCTGGATAGTGGGACCACAGAGCCAGGCAACTGCATTATGGCACACACCAGTTAAGTATTGTCATTTAATCCTCCAAAAATATAAGTGCTCCACTGTCCCAGTTGTTTGCGTATCCTGTCAGTAACCAGTTAGTCAATTCAGGCAGAGCTTACAGACTCTGTGGGACAGCCCATTATAAGCAGGCAGTATCACTCAGTGGCCAAGAGAACAGACCTTGGGAACTGCCAGTTTGGGACTAAAGCCTGGCTTTCCAGTTTGAGTAGTATGACCTTCGCCTGCCTTGTGCCTGTCCATATCTGTAAAAAGGAATGCATAAGCCCTATCGTGTTGGGTTCTTGTGAAGTTTCAGTGTGAGCACAGWTGTAGAGCAGAGAGCAGAGTGCTTGACACCAGACCCAAAATGTCACAGTCTTTCAAATGACACGTGTTGATGTGAGCTGATTTGACACCCTGTGGACCTCACATGCGCCAGGGCCTTGTCTGCACTCTCTGGATTGTGTCTGACCCAYGGGGCTCCCCTGCTGGCCCCAGCACTACGATCTGTGTAACACCACCTGCCCATAAATGCTCTGCTGTTCTCCATGTCAGGAGTACCCCTGCTCTCCGGGCCCAACCCTACAGACCCACTGTGGAGTCTGGTGGATCTTTGTTTCAACAGCATTATTTTCCCAGCAGATTTTTTTTTACACTGATTAATTTAAAAGAACTAGGTAAGACTCCCACCTTCCTGCTGCCCCACACTACACCATCACCTTTGAGTGCAGAGTGCACCTTCATTCGGCTCAGATGTACACATGTGGCAACCAAGACAAGCAGCTCCCTGTGGCAGCCCTACCTTCAACTGAGGGAAGACCCTTTCCATAGACTTCTTTTTGTTTTTCTTCTCAAAAAGAAACTCCAGCTAGGAATTAAACCAGAAATACTAAGCTCTAGGGTATATAAAGAACTCAAAAAGCTAAATACCAAAAAAAAAAAAACCAAATAACCCAGTCARTAAATGGGCCAAGGAACTGAACAGACACCTCTCAGAGGATGATATACAATCAGTCAACAAATATATGAAAAATGTTCAACATCTCTAGCAATTAGAGAAATGCAAATCAAAACTACTCTATGATTTCATCTCCAATCAGAATGGCAGCTGTTAAGAATACAAATAACAATAAGTGTTGGCGAGGATGTGGGGAGAAAGGCACACTCATACATTGCTGATGGGACTGAAAATTGGTACAACCAATATGGAAGCAGTATGGAGAGTCCTTGGAAAGCTGGGAATGGAACCACCATTTGACTTAGCTATCCCACTTCTTGGTCTAAACCCAAAGGACTTAAAAAACAGCATACTACAGGGACACAGCCACATCAATGTTTATAGCAGTGAAATTCACAATAACTAAACTGTGGAACCAACCTAGATGCCCYTCAGTAGATWAATGAATWWWAAAAAKTATATATATACATACAATGGAATATTACTCAGCAATAAAAGAGAATAAAATCCTGGCATTTGCAGSTAAATGGATGGAGTTGGAGAATATAATGCTAAGTGAAGTTAGCCAATCCCAAAAAAACAAATGTCGAAGGTTTTCTTTGATATAAAGAGGCTGACTCATAATGGGGTTGGGAGGGGGATCATGGGAGGATTAGATGAACTCTAGATAGGGCAAAGGGGAGAGAGGGGAAGGGAAGGGGCATGGGGGTAAAAAAGATGGTGGAATGAGATGGATATCATTACCCTAAGTACATGTATGAAGACACAAATTCTTTCAATATACTTTATATACAACCAGAGATATGAAAAAAATGTGCTCTATATGTGTAGTATGAATTATAATGCATTCTGCTGTCATATATAACAAATTAGAATCAAATTAGTTAGTTAATTAATTTTTTTAAAAAAGAAACTCCAGCTCAGGGAACAGACCTCCATTCCATTTGGCTCCAGCCCAGACTGAATATGTGACCTTATGCTAGTCAGGTGACCTTTTAGAGCCTCAGCCCCCTCATCCATGAAATGCTGTGAGAATTAGATACCTGGTACAGCRTCAGGACATGGGAGCCAAAACAGACACTGCCCACAGTCAGCTTGGCCTGGAGTTGGAAGATTTAGGGTCACACTCTGGCATCACCAGTCATGCATCACAGCCTGTGTGTCCCGCTCCTCRACCTTCCTAGCCTTTGTACCCCAGCTATGAAACAGGTCAGCGGTGCCAGCCGCAGAGGAGTGGGAGGTGATTAAGGAGAAGGAGACGTAGAGAGCTCGGCACACAGATGTAAAGCCCTGTTCCAGTGCTGGCTGTTGTCACCGTATCATGGCAGAGGTTTCAGGCTGGCAGCCATAGCCCTCATCTGACCCACAAGCAAGTCTGGTTTATCCACACAGTGGTGGTGTTTGTTATTATAATTATTGAATGACTTGTCAACACTTAAAAATTAAGAGATATCACATAAAAATTGTTATTTCCAGCATCAATCCTGCTTAGCCAYAGTCACGCAGCCTGACATTTGTGGGACTTGGGGCAGGAGTATAAATGGAGGCCCATACCCACATGGATATATGTCTTATAGTAATAACAAAGCTCCAGACA